TGTACAGCACACAATCCCTCCCCTCTGCTTGGGAGATAATTGAGTAAAGTCCTGTAAGTAACTCAATTATCTCCAGGCAGAAAAAACACATTTTCACAAAGTTAAGAAAGTACCCCAAAACATAACATACCCCCTAATATCCCTGGATAGCCTTGATGTGGGTGAACACCCAGATCAGAGCAGGGGTTAAAAAGTTGCATGGAAGTCTGTTTTTGACCAGCTGCAAGCATGGCTTCATACCCAAAACAGTTCCTTGGAATTAGGGCCAGCGGTCATTCTCTCTTTATGGAGTGCAAAAGTACTTACATTACATGAATGGAGCCTTTTAAAGTATATTGGACAAGGTATGTTGCAGGGCCCATAGTCACAGGGTAGGAGGCAAGCAAACAGGCCCCTCCAAAAACCAGTGGTGAGGTCACTTTCGCCACAGTGATAAGCCCTGACAGTCACAGTATCTAGATCAGTGGTTCTGACAGACAACCCTTCCTTCAATAACAACACAGCTCAGAAACATAATCTTCAGTTGTAATATATTATAAAACACAGCAGGGACCTTGCAAATGTGATCTGGCTTCTTCAGCCAATTGGGGACTGCCTGAATGAAGGTAAGAGCAAATTTTTATCCCATCACAGGAGTTAAGGACCACTAAATGCACCCAGATCACTTTATCTCAATGAAGTGTTCTTGCTGCAGTGGCCCTTTAGTTTTAACCCTGCAATTGTAAAACATTGCTGTTTAGTAGATATGTCAATGTTATGATTGCATGGTTAACATTTCTCTAGAGGCTGTCTAATCTCAGCCAAGGGGGCAGGGTGGCAGCGAGAAGTCTATGTCGGCGATGAAGTAAAGGTAAGTAAATTGTTTTGCTTACCACATTAACACGTTTGTACTCCTAACGTTATAGTGTTCATATAAGAAATACTGATCCAGATTACATTGTATAAAACGTATGAAGAGTACCTTGTATTTACCACATTTGTGGATGTTGGGTCCACTTTAAAACTAGTATTCTGGACACTCTTCTACTAGAATTATGTGTTGTTTGCCATTTTTCAGTTTTCGAAAGAAGAGTTTTATTATATTCTTCCAGTGAATCACTTTTGGATACAAAGTATGTCCCAAAGGAGCTTAAAGTTCTAAGCACACACAAACTACTCATTGACAGGCTAAAATCATCTTTTCTAGAAAAAGGTAGATAAATTTAACCCTTTTGTGGCAGCACATTCATTTCGATGACACTTTAAGAAGTTCATAGAAGCTTAACTTACAGTTGTGTCATTTACCATCAAGGTTATTCAATAAAGTGAGAATTCAAGATCAATTGAAAGTGAATTTCAAATGTAAGGCCAGAGTAGCTGAACTGAAAGAATATTCACTTAGATAATAACCCTGCATACAATTGTTTAACAAATGTTTCCCTTATTTTTTAAGTTGGAAATAACAAAAAACCCTACACATATTGAGAAAATATTCCTTGCCACTCCTCTTCCATCATAATTTTTTTAACATTCCATTTTTTATTATAAATTTATTATTTCCAATTTATGAAAACGAGATGGATGAGTGCACATTTTCACCCTGAAATTTTTTTATATCCCCTTGTTTTCTGTCAAACCATTTTGAAGTGCTCCTCATTACCCAATGCCCTCCCCCACGGATATTGTGGATTTTGTCATTATCCGTGTGAAGCCAGCCAACCTGGTTTGACAAAGATATGTTATAAGGATCTAGACTGGACAGATTTGCACTTGAAAATCTATAATCTTTTTAAAAAAAATTGGAGGAAAGCTGGGAACAGTGTCCTTAAAACCACACCTAAAATTAGCTGTACAGGTAATGTTGCTCAGAAACTGCTTTTTATCATGTCATAAGCACACTTTGCACTTGTAAAAATGCAGTGATGTCATCCCAACTAGCCACATTGTGATCTATTTTAAACTAAAACATAAGACAAAGTAGGCACTAGTTTGCCTTGTTTATTTTTTCTATGCCTGGCTTTCTTGGGTGGACCTACCGCCGTCCAGAAGTGTAATTCCCCCAGCCACCACTGGTAATGGCTGCAGGGAATTGGCTATGTCTGTTGACCCCTGCAACTGTGGGCCGGGATCACTTCAGGGCCAGTGCACAGCCTCGCAGGCCCAGGGTGCGTGGTCAGAGGTGACTGTCAGGAGGGGAGCGCACAGTACAGGCAGTGCTCCCCTCCTGCCAACCACTGCATGGTGGTCTGACAGGAAATGTTCGCTGAGAGAGCATTTCGTGTCACACCGGGTACTGCGGTTTGCTTGGAGGTGAGCCACATGGAGGGGCTGAGAGAGGGGGAATGAGACACATGCAGGGATTGGGGGGGATGAGACACATGGAGCGATTGGAGTGGAGTGAATGAGACACAAGAAGGGGCTGTGGGAGGGAATGAGACACATCAAGGGGTGATGGGGAGGGAATGAGACACATTGAGGGGCTGGGGGGGGAGGGAATTAGACATATATAGGGGTGGGGGGAGGAAATTAGACACTTGGAGGATCTGGGAAAAGGAATGAGACACATCGAGGGGTGATGGGGAGGGAATTAGAAATATAGGTTGGTGGGCAAAGGGGTTTAGACACATGGAGGGGCTGGAGAAGGAATGAGGCACATGGAGGGGCTAGAGGTGAGGATGAGACATGTGGAGGGGCTGGGGAGAGAATAAACACATGGAGTGGCTGTAGGTGTGAATGAGACACATGTAAGTGCTAAGGGAGGATGGGGGGGATGAGATGCATGGAGGGGCTGTGGGGGAGAATACATGGAGGGGCTGGAGGGGGGAATAAGACACATTGGTCAATTTTTGTACTGGGGCCGGTGGTTTCTACTTACACCTCTGGAGACTGCACATATTAAAATAGGATCACTTTCTATTTATAATAGAGTTGAATGAATGCTTAATTAAGGCTGTAACATTCTGAAGTCTGGGGCCTCTAACTCTTTCTTTTGTCTACTTTTATGTAGCAATTGCTTAGTGCAAAAACAGAATGTAAATACGCTCTGTGCCAACAGCCTTGATACTGCCTGTCAAGTTCCATTGAGACTGCACCTGTATGACTGCCAAAAGTAAAATAAGGATGAAAAGCGGATGTTAGGACATATAAATAGTTACGCATAACATGTCTTAACGAAGAGAGCAGACAGAATGGACTACATTGAGATGAATGTGGTCCTTTTTCTTAAAGGGACACAATCATAGTTACATAGTTACATAGCTGAAAAGAGACTTGCGTCCACCAAGTTCAGCCTTCCTCACATATGTTTTTGCCGTTGATCCTAAAGAAGGCAAAAAACACAGTCTGAAGCGCTTCCAATTTTGCAACAAACTAGGAAAAAATTCCTTCTTGACCCCAAAATAGCAGTCAGATGTCTATTTGGATCAAGCAGCTATTACCCCATTAATTAAAAATTATATCCTTGTATGTTATGTTTTTGCAAGTATTTATCCAATTGCAGTTTAAACATCTGTATGGACAGGCCCGGACTGGCCATCGGGCACAGCGGGCAAATGCCCGGTGGGCCGCGGTGGCCGTGGGGCCGAGGCCGGCAGGGGAGGTCCCAGGATCTCCCCTGCCGGTCTATGCAGGGCCGGCACTCTCCTAGCGCCGGCCCCGCTGTTTGCCACGACGGGCCGGTGGGGAGATCAAGGATCTCCCTGACCGGCCCACATGCGGCCGCCGGCGGGGAGGGAGGGAGGGAGGGAGCCAGCCAGGCTGGAGAGAGGACCCGGCGGAGCTCTAATTTGCAGCTCCGCCGGGTTCCTCTCGCGAGATCCGGCGCGTTGCCATGGCAACGACCGGATCTCGCGAGAGTTCACTCACCCACGAGGACTACCAGGGAACCCCGCCACCCCGCCTGCCAGGTGCCAGCGTGCCGGTCCCCCCCCTCCCAGGCTAAAGGTAAGAAGGGAGGGGGGGGAATAATTACTGGGTTTTTTTTGTGGTTTTTTTTAATTAACCCCCCCACACACACACAATAACATTTATACAGCACTCTCACACCCATCACACACAGCACTCTCTCACCCATCACACACAGCACTCTCACACCCATCACACACAGCACTCTCACACCCATCACACACAGCACTCTCTCACACATCATACACACACTCTCACACTCAGCACACTCAGCACTCTCACACACATCATACACAGCACTCACACCCATCACACACAGCACTCTCTCACCCATCACACACAACACTCTCACCCATCACACACAGCACTCTCACACCCATCACACACAGCACTCTCACACACAGCACTCTCACACACATCATACACAGCACTCTCACACTCAGCACTCTCACACACATCATACACAGCACTCACACCCATCACACACAGCACTCACACCCATCACACACAGCACTCTCACACACATCATACACAGCACTCTCACACTCAGCACTCTCACACTCAGCACACTCAGCACTCTCACACACATCATACACAGCACTCACACCCATCACACACAACACTCTCACCCATCACACACAGCACTCTCACACCCATCACACACAACACTCTCACCCATCACACACAACACTCTCACCCATCACACACAACACTCTCACCCATCACACACAGCACACTCACACCCATCACACACAGCACTCTCACACCCATCACACACAACACTCTCACCCATCACACACAGCACTCTCACACCCATCACACACAGCACTCTCTCACACATCATACACAGCACTCTCACACACATCATACACACACTCTCACACACAGCACTCTCACACACATCATACACAGCACTCTCACACTCAGCACTCTCACACTCAGCACACTCAGCACTCTCACACACATCATACACAGCACTCACACCCATCACACACAACACTCTCACCCATCACACACAGCACTCTCACACCCATCACACACAGCACTCTCACACACAGCACTCTCACACACATCACACACAGCACTCTCACACTCAGCACTCTCACACACATCACACACAGCACTCTCACCCATCACACACAGCACTCTCTCACACATTACACACAGCACTCTCTCACACATCACACACAGCACTCTCTCACACATCACACACAGCACTCTCACACCCATCACACACAGCACTCTCTCACCCATCACACACAGCACTCTCACCCATCACACACAGCACTCTCTCACACATTACACACAGCACTCTCTCACACAGCACTCTCTCACCCATCACACACAGCACTCTCACACCCATCACACACAGTACTCTCTCACACAACACTCTCACACCCAGCACACTCTCAGCACTCTCACAGCACTCTCACACACACAGCACTTTCACACACACAGCACTCTCTCACAGCACCCTCACACCCATCACACTCACTGCACTCTCTCACAGCACTCTCACAGAGCACTCTCTCACACAGCACTCTCACACTGCACCCTCACACACGGCACCCTCACACACGGCACCCTCACACACGGCACTCTCACACCCATCACTCACACCGCACCCCTCACACACACACACACACCGCACCCTCACATACACACAGAACCCCCCCAACACACTGCACCACACACATACTTCCAAATATATATATATATATATATATATATATATATATATATACACACACACACACTACACTCTTAAAGGACCACTCTAGCCACCCAGACCACTTCAGCTTAATGAAGTGGTCTTGGTGCCAGGTCCTTCTAGGGTTAACCCATTGTTTTATAAACATAGCAGTCTCAGAGAAACTGCTATGTTTATCAATGGGTTAAGCCTTCCCCCAAAGCCTCTAGCAGCTGTCTCATTGACAGCCGCTAGAGGCGCTTGCGTGCTTTTCACTGTGAAAATCACAGTGAGAGCACGCAAGCGTCCATAGGAAAGCATTACAAATGCTTTCCTATGCGACCGGCTGAATGCGCGCGCAGCCAGCCGACTGGGTGGTTCGGAAGAGGAGAGCACCCCGCCCGGCGCTGGAAAAAGTTTTAACCCCTTTCCAGAGCCGGGCGGGAGGGGGTCCCTGAGCCACATATCCATCACATTACACCACAAACACAACACGACTAAAACCGACCTTATTACACAATACCACACCACGACCAGCTCACTCTACACACACGCAATACCACAAGCAGGCTCCAAACACATGCACAATACTCTTTCCTGGCCTTTTGTCCCCTGGTATCCATTTATAGAGACACCAGAGACAAGTTGCAAGGAAACACAGTGCAAGCATGTTATTAAATTTGCTTGCACTGTGCAGAACAAATACAGGACTTTTTTCTCATGCTAGAGCTCTTCATCAGAGCTCTGCGCATGGTCTGCCCTGGAAGAGCATTGAACCAACATGCTCACTTTGAGAGGAGGCATGTTTGTCATTGGTGATGACAAAACACACCTCCTCTGCCCCGCCCCCTTTTTAGTGGGCCGCTGTGTTAAAAAAATGCCCGGGCCGAATTTTTCTCCCAGTCCGGCCCTGTGATCAAGTGTTTATGTGTAGCTGTTTGTTTTTTGTTTTTTTGTACTGAGTTGCAATACAATGTAAAATATATTACAAGAACAAAAAAAAAAAGAAGTATATATTTCAAGAACCCCCTATAGTTTGATCCCCAACTCCACCGTAGGTCTTACTTGATGGAAAAGGTAATTGCACTTTTAGAACTCTAGTCATTCCCTTTACAGAGAGATTGTAAATTATCGGATGGCCATACCTTCTCCCTGTGATCTGTACAGATGTCTGCACAGAGATCTGTAGTCAGGACTCCTGAATAGTATCCAAAAAAGTGAAATAGGGTGCTGGGAAGCATTTAGGGGGAAAAAAAGTATTCAGAATCTTTCCATTCTGCTGCCATTGTGGGAATCTGCATTCAAAATACCAGACGATAAAATGGGTATCTCACCAATTTAGTTACAGCTATTGTATGGTACAAATATTATTTGGGTTTCTATACTAATAATCCTGAACCACCTATGGCTCTTTAATGTCTATCTAAATATGCCCCAAAAGTTATGCAAAGTATGAGCAAAAAAATATAAATAAAAATAAAAATTCAAGAAATGTACATAATGTTTATTGTTAGGTACGGTAACTTGAAATGTATTCTAAACTAAACCTCGCTGTTACTTTATGATCTGGTTTTGCATCCCTGGTTTTTAATTAATTTTATGTATAATTTTTTATTAAAATACTTGGCAATAACAGGTTTAGCAATTTGTTTTGGCATTGCCATAATTTATTTTTACCTTAATATTTTTAAATCCATTGTGATAAACATTTTTCTAAAATTTGTATACTAACGGAAATTAGATGTAAAATAAGTTATGCAAAATTAATCTTCTAGGGGTGTATTTTCTCTTCCATTTGGAATCTCAGATGGGTCTCTCTTTTTTTTATGATTTCAAATGTAATAAGGCACATTGATTGGATACACTGTCAGTGTAAGCCATTGGTGCAAAATTGTGTAGCTCAATTCACTTCTAAATTATTCTTCAATTTGTTGCTACCTATAAATGTGGATCTTGTGGATTGAGCCACACACCATGGATATGGCTATCTGGACTAATGATTTGCATGTGGCTCAGCTCATCACGTGTGTTTACCTGTAGGCCATGCATCAATTTCTCCTTTGCATGAGAACATTTATTTAATTTTAAGCAGAAGAGGTGAAAAGCCTCCTCTTTGAAAGCAGCAATATACGGCTGACCTCTGCAGTAACCTCTGCTGCAGTGAAAGATTTTATAAAATTTCAGAGAATAATTAATTGCCCCTTTAAATTTTTTAATCCTGATTAAGGTCTCCTGGGACCTGAAATGTTGATTTTTGTTCTATGAGCTAATACATTTTTTTTCCACGCAGCTGTAACCATCCCTTTGAACATTGTAAAGTCAAATGTAGGTATGTACATGACTAAGATGCAATAGACTCCCATGACCTTGTGTGACTCTTACGTGTGTCACTTGAGAATACTATGCATTTATTAAACCATTGCACTGCAGACTCATATATCTTAAAGGAATGGGTCTTAATTAATCAGCATGGCTGCTCTGCAGGTGGATCTTATGTCCATTTGACTGTCTCATTTACATCACAATGTATAAAAAAACTGTAGACCGCTGGTGCTGAATCTCCCTGGGGATTCTTGGACTACAACTGCCACAGTTCTCAGCCAGCAAAAAATAAATATGGGAGTTGTAGTAGAAAATATTGCTCGTACTGTTGACATGTATGAGCTGATAAACAGGGTTTGTTGTACAGTGATGTACATTTCTGCTGCGGTCTGGGTATTCACAAGGTTTATGGATAATGTGTTACACATGGAGTTATTTACTAAAGTGAGAATTTAGACAGAATTGAAAGTGAATTTCACAAGTAAGGCCAGAGTAGCTGAACTGAAAGCTTTGCTGACTTAGATGATTTTTGCAGTTCGTCTATTTTGACCTTAAATTTGAAATTCACTTTGAATTCTCACTTCCGTGAATAACACTGACAGATGCATGGCGATAAACACTACTGGC